ATATCGTCCCGTGTCGTAACTGCGCTCACTTGACATCATCCACTTCGGATCAAAATTAGTTGAGCACCAAATAGGAGTGTCATCCGGTCCACTTTCGCCCTTCCAGCGAGGGACTATCATCATCCACCAGTAGCTCTGGCCTTCAGGTAATATCATACATATAATTCCTAGTCGTGTTCAGTGGCCATCATTAAAAAATCCTGTATTCGTATGTTTCGATTAGTTAGCAGTTAACCGTTATTTATAATTATATTATTATTTGAGCTTGTTGTATTCAATACTAATTTTATATTATAATATATAACCTATGGAATCCACGTATATCATACCTAGGGGCCGGAATTATATTCCTTTGCATACTTATTTTGAACCTATATGCTATCAGACGGGGGTTTGAAATCTTTACAAATCATGAAACTGGTTAATTAATGGCGAACATTTTTATGGCACATTTGAGAATATTATTAGAATCTTTTTTTGGCTTTTTTAAATGAATATAATTCTGGCTCTTAATCTTAACTATTTTGTATGAGAATTGTATTTTTCAATATTAGGCTGACAAGCAGTTTCCAGTCAGAACCGTTTTTTGTATAAAATGATAATAACAGTGATATAATGTTACAAATATTACCGTATCCTTGAAACATCACTCCTGCTAATTCAAAATATACCCTGAATACTTTCGGGTTTTTTTCGACCATTACTAAACCGTATTCAATTGTCGGGATTAATTGGTTCATCAATAAAACCGGATGATATTTCCCCGGTTGTTTTGGAAACCATTTCATCGCCTAAAATAAGAAAATAATTTTTGGTTGAATAGGACCTTCAACCAACATTTGAGCTATATCATTTGGACAAAGTACTTTTGGTGATTTTGTTGACGTCGCGGGAGTCGTAGGCCTTAGTTCTTCCACAACGTCATTCGCCTCAACTATGACGTGCATTTGTGTCTCAGAATCCTTAGTCTCGGCCTTCGGTTCCTCGTTACCGGATTTCTTATCGACCGTCTTTATCGAGGTTTGAGAATACGCGTCAGACGTCTTAACTTGCTCATCACTGACATCCTATTAATTCATCTACCGTTTCAATCGATGTTTGATAGTGTACTGCGAGCCATCCGACTGAGATATATTCTTGTCTGTCACTGTCTTCGGGTGATTTACTCGAATTGCGCATAGTGCAGATGTCGAGGGAAATGAGTGGTCAGTATGTCTCTAAAATTTTGATCGCATGTTCCGTGTAGTTGTTAGTCATAACTTTTTTAGTCTTTAGTCTAGTCAGAGTGGTGCTACACGGCCGTCAGTACCATCGAGTTTCAATTCGACTGACCTCTCATTGTTTTCCAAAGGGGGAACTAGATAGCTCCTCGCGCGCATTGACCACGGCTTCGCAAAGCGTGCGTTTTGCATTGTTGTTACAGGATCTGGCCTCAGAGAGCCGTATCTCATCGAAACAGGTTGCGAGATGGATATGTTCATTGACACTCGCCTCAACCGATCCGCATGACCTGTAATGCTTGAATCCGGGGAACTTGTTGACTGGCCAACCATTGCTCGCCGTATTGCAGTCAGGTCCAGAGGAGGCTCTCGCTGTTTTCGGTGGATGGAAATCAATGTACCAATGCCAAAGCTTTTGGAGCCGTTGATCATCGCAGAGCACGTTCACAATATTAATGTGTCACGGCCTATTATTGTTCGTACCTGGCCAGTACAATACATGTTATAAATTATAATAATAAATAAAAAATTGAAAAATTATTTTGTTTTCTTATCGATTAAACATATTATGATTATTATAATTAGCCATAAACCTAAAGTTAATAAATGATATACGTAAATCAAACGTTTTTTAGAGCCTCGTATTATGAGTAAAATCGACTTGAAAAATTCGGTCAATCCAAGTTAAGTACTAAAAATAGGTGTTACCATAAAAAAATTAATTTTTGTACTGTTCATGCTAAATTCATTTCAATACAAGTTCATCCGGCCTTATATCGTGATCACACTGTATATTTAAATCTTACAATATCTTTACACTTTAGGATACATTTTTTAATTAATACACATACAAAATTAACGAATAATGTTGCAACAGTTGAATACCTATTTTAAAGTTACGGTGTGGTGCCTTCCATTCAATGCCCGAAGCCTCGAAGGGCTCTCATGAATTTTATCGAATATCACCATGCAATACAATTTTATGTAAAATACCTTATCTTATCAAAATGTGAAAACGAATTTTAAAACAAAGTTTAAATAATCATAAAAAAAATTCAATATAATATATTATAATATTATAAATAAGGGAGATTCGCTAAAATAACAAATAAGTACATATAATATATACTGTTGAAGTCTCCATCCGATGGTTGCGACGCTCCCGACTGTAATTTGTCATTACATAAATTATACCAATATATTCCTATGTATTACGATCAGGGATGGCCAAGATTCTCAAAAATCGGTATCGAGATACTAGATACTAAATACATGGATTTGGAGTACCGAAATTCTAGATACCGATACTTACGTTTTAAGTATTTAGATACTCGATATCCGATACTCGAAATAAAATTAGTCACAGGTTTTTTTAAAAAATTTATTTATACACAATTTGGTATATATTTATTAAGTAATTAATAAAGACCACATATTTAATAACTTCATAATAACATTATACAACACTATTAATTATTATTGTTAATTTATGTGCATAATTATTTAGTTAGTCATAAACTACATAGGCAATAAGTAGTAACTTAATTATTAAACTAGTATTATATATTATATTGATAAAAACCGAAAAACTGATTATTTTAATACTACCTATTAAAGTTTAAACTAATTATTTGGTATTGAACTATATTTATGTTTTATACCAATAATTTTAGTAGGTTATATATATCCGTAAGCTAACATATGATAATAATATTATAAAAACTTTTAATGTTCTGGGCTGACCAAATTGTTATTATTTTTTTTTTTTACCTGTCTGTCTCATAACGTTTTGGAGTAGTAAGTTAAAAACCACCCTCAGTTTTTGGTTTAAAATTTGATCTGAACGGATTTACACCCAAGACTTATAACTGTTCAGTAGAGATGATTCTGAATTGTTTTTTTTTTTGTTAGTTAATTATTTTACTCCGTTAAAATAATTGCAACAAGTATCCAACATCATAAACTAGTTTTATTTTTTTTTCAAATATTGTGTTATTGTGTCACTTATTCACAGAGTGAACTACTTAAAAAAACTATCCGAACTATCGATACACATTTGGCACAAGCTATAAGTTCTACTAATTGATACAGTTAATACTCGTAATCCTCATAATTTTAAGGTATTTTTCAAAACATTTGAAATGATTATTTTTATTTTTAATAACTAATAACCATAATATGCTTAATTTTTCATGTTATTTAAGGCTTTAAAATATCTTCCACACCAAAATTAATAAGTTTTGTAAATTACAATAATAACTGTTGTTAAAAACAAATTTTTATTTTAAATTTAAAATAAATAAAAACATTTTATTTTTATAAAATGATGATGAAAAAAATAATCCACCGAATTCACTGAATAAACTTATCTTCAAGTTAACGAAAACTTTGAAATTCAAAAAGGTACGTATTATTTAGTTTCCAAATTATCATAATAATTCAAAATTATATTCACGATGGATTTTTTGACTAAATCAGAATTTACCCACGTCTTATAAAATTAAAAACTCGTAAATGCACGTAGTAGTCAGTATATAAGAATAAGAATATGTGTTAATTTTTATAGGGCGAGTCACGTACCTATTAAAAAATCGTTCAAATGTCGTCTGAGTTTTGTGAGCGACTGACTTAGTCGCAAAACATGATAATAATAATGTGTTCCAGACAACTGGTCAGTAAATTTTAAACATAATCATAAAATATTTCCCTCATTTTTTAAATAATAAAGTACAAACAAAAGAACAGAATTTTCAAATTTAATATTTGAGATAATTGTAACATAATATTGACATGAGTTTCAGTGGCACTATCTGCTAGAGCCAAAAATAAATAATAATTAGCAAATGCTGCAACTCTTCAGCACTGCTTACAAGTTATAACACTTAGAACTAAAGACCGACTTTAATTGACATTTCACCTGTGTTTGCACACAAGATGAATCAAATCTGATCAAATATTGTGTTGCATAAAGTATCAACCTGAGTTATCTACTTTCTGCATATTTCATTTCAGAACGTAGTTTTTCTTTGTACAAACATATTTTAAGTAATATAAGATATAACTGTAAAAAACTATTTGGAAATCTATTTGAATATCAATTTTAATACAAAACTGTATTTTTTTTGTTCAAGGATTTTTTTTTTGTACAATATTATAGAGGTTAGAGATTTACAATATAGTTACGATTTTTACAAGCTACATGAATTAATTTTACGCTAGGGTGTTGAATGTTGATGCGTTTGATTATAATATAATACTATTTCAATTAAAAATCAAGTAGACAAGTAGCATAAAAAAGCTACAAGTTTCTTTATGTAAATCAAGTTCGTGAACAAAAATTGTTTTATAATTATTTCGGTAATAATAAATTTTTTCATTCAGCAACTAATTGGTTGTGGTCACCCTCTAAACGGCGCAGCAAAACATGCGCCGGACGAATTTCTTCGTCCGGCTCCATATTGAGTGACGTTTTTAGGATTTATCGGGTCAATGACTAACTCCTGCTCGTTGCCGTCACTGCATTCTGTTTCCCGTTCCGAGTGGTCCACCAGTCCAAAAGTTATATGTATATTTGGCGCAGAGGACCATCGACTCTGCGCTGAACAGTCTTCAAATTCGCTTGTCTCCCGGACTTTGGGCGATGTTGCTGGTAGTTCGGACGCCGATTGCACGGACGTACAAAACCGTTGAAACTGTTGAGGGAGAACATTTCACACACGGAATATTATTATTACTTTTCTCTTATTAAATATAGTCCTCTGTTTCTTGGCTTATTGAGAGACACCACATAAGAGAGGCGCACTTGTTTTTAAACTTCTAATATTAATATTGAAATATTAACTATTAAGTAATAATAACATAACTATATAATAAGAATAGAACTTATTATGTGCTTAAAATGTAAAATATCATGATGATTTTCATGTTGTAAATATTTTCGTTTTTAAAGGCTTAAAACACTGATATTCAACACTACCTCTTCCAAACATTAGGTTTCTAAATCATTTAAATACTGAACACTACAGGACCGTATTAGTACATGCGGGGTCTAAGGCCTACGGTAGTGTTAATCCAGGCCTGGAAGTCACACTACAACATTTAAAATACGGAACGTATACAAACGAATAATAATACATATCCAATAAATCCTATTCATTAAAAAAAAAAACAAAAAGTCAAATAGTTTTGTACTTATATTTTGATCACATTTCGCACTTAATTGTGTGTATTATCAAGTAGCCACGCCAAATTGCCGTTTGAATTTTATTTTTAGTAATTTAATTAAGACAAATATACGGCAATCTATCATTTATATGTCCAAAAACTTCGGAAAACCATTTATTACTAAGGCGTATTAGTTGGACTCGGAAGTGTTTTTACTGTATTGCTCAAAACGCAATATTCCTTATCTTTGTAATAAAATATATTACTCAGCTTATAAGAGGCACAAGATCAATTCATGCACGATTCTGCCAATAATTATTCTACGTAAATGCGTTCTGTAGTAAGTGAACCAGAGAATCAGCGGTAATCAGAAACCTATCGTTTAAAACATTCCTTTTGAATATTTGAAAAAAAAAATCTCATTGAAATCTATTGTAATATAGGTATATATATAGCCTTCCGTGTCTGAACTGACTTTTGAATTTTGGTTTACTTTTCATACGCTCTGGTGAAATCCTCTTAACTGAAATTGTGACAGTTTCTTTTGTTTCTTCACGCGGATCATGAAGAAAATTGTTATTCAGAATAATATACAGGGTAATTCATCAAATACACCCATTGCTCAGCCAACATTTTAATTCTTTGGTAATGTATTTTTTGAACGAAATTTTTTTTAAAAATGTATGGCCC